AGTGTGCATTACATATAACCACAAGATGTCTGCAGGTGACCTCTGTGGGTAGAGGCCAGTCTGTAGAATTTTTTTTTAGAAAGCTTTTATTTAATGAATACAAATTTCATAGGTACAGCTTTGAGAATATAGTGGTTCTTACCCATATTCCCACCCTTCCACCCCGCTTCCTCCCTCTTCCATCCCATACTTCATCAAGATTCATTTTTAATTATCTTTATATACTGAAGACCAACTCTATACTAAGTAAACATTTTGACAGTTTGCACCCACACAGACACACAAAGTATAAAGTACTGTTTGAAAACAAGTTTTGCAGTTAGTTCTCATAGTATAACTCATTAAAGACAAAGGTCCTACATGGGGAGCAAGTGCACAGTGACTCCTGTTGTTGATTTGACAATTGACACTCTTATTTACGACATCAGTAATCACCCGAGGCTCTTGACATGAGCTGCCAAGCCTATGGAAGCCTTTTGAGTTCACAGACTCCATCAGTATATAGACAAGGCCATAATCAAAGTGGAAGCTCTCCTCCCTTCAGAGAAAAGTACCTCCTTCTTTGATGGCCTCCTTTTTCCACTGGCGTCTCATTCACAGAGATACTTCATGTACAACATTTTTTGCCACAGTGTCTTGGCTTTCCAAGCCTGAAATGCTCTCATGGGCTTTTCAGTCAGATCTGAATGCCTTAAGCAGCCTGCATAATTAATGGGAAATGAAGATACGGAGACAGAGAATATTGACAATCTTTGAAACATTTTATGGTGAGTAAGAAGAGAAAATGTGGGAGCTGGAGGGGTACATGGGGTGGAGGCAGCAGCTTACACCTGGAGGACGGGGAACATGGATCCAGGGAGACAGCAGGTAGTGCTCAAACCCGGGCTCCCATCTCAGGGAGGACCAGGTGGAGGGTGTCCAGAGCTGGGGAGTCCTCCGGTTGAAACACCCAGAGAGAGCAGCTGAGTTAACATAAAAGGTAATGCATTGAAAATTGATGGCAGGGGAGGGGGGTTTCACAGAATTGTTTTAATGAAAATATTGAAGAATAAGTCTCTGTAAAGAATAAAATTTGGTCATGCTGAAATACAAATAGCATGAACTATTTCACAATCATGCCATCGGGGCTGAGGACCACTGGAACTAATTGCACTCCATCTGTTTTCAGTGTTTTTGTCCCTCTACTCATCACTGAAATCCTAGTCAATCTCTCCTGAGCCATGTGCCCCTGGTTGGTACCAGGTGGAGGTGCACAGTTCCTTGATAATCCCCCAGGCTATATTCCAGAGGGAAGGTGATTCCTGGAGAAGTAAGTCAGAGTACTTTTAAAAGATTTATTTATTCATTCATTCATTTATTTGAAAGGCAGTTACAGAGAGAAGGAGATACAGAGACAGAGAGAGAGAGAATCTTCCATCCACTGGTTCGCTCCCTAAATGCATCAATAGCTAGAGCTAGACCACGCCAAAGCCAGGAGCCAGGAGCTTCTTCCGGGTCCCCCTTGTGGATGCAGGGGCCTAAGAACCTGGATCATCTTTCGCTGCCTTCCCAGGCCATTATCAGGGATCTGGATCAGAAGTGGAACAGCTGGGAATTGAACCAGAACCCATATGGGATGGCAGCATTGCAGGCAGAGGCTTTACCCGCTGAGCCACAGCTCTGGCCCCAAGAGTGCTTTGACTGAAAAGATGTGAAGTGGGTGCTGAGTCCCGAGAAGGAAGCACAGCTGGAGCACAGCTGCAGAGTCAGAACCTGGAGCTGTCACCCTGGGAATTCAGGGCAAGGACACAGATCTTGTTTTCAGTTATTCATTCATATACTGAAGCAGTTCCTGTACTCACAGTCCACAGTACAGGGGCACTACCATCCCATGGGGCACACCCTCAGCCACTGGAGGACAAAACCCAGTGGGTAAACTCCCTCTATCCGCACCCTGAATGATCCTGGATGCTTTTTCTCAGCGCAGATGAGCCAGTGCACCTGAGCATCCAAGCAACAGCTGAGGTGCCCAGCAGGGTAAGACCCCTCTCAGTGGGCGTTCCCTCCTGCCCTGCCTTGCCCTCCTGCCTCACTGCTGCTTCCTGGAGCCACACTTCTCAGTAATGGGTAACACTCAACCTCAACTTCTGCTTTCTGGGAACACAGGCAACGCAGGGGGATCAGGAGTGACAGTGGGATGGGGCATGTCGGAGTGTCACAGGAGAACTAAGTGAGAAGATGAGCCATGAGCAAAGCCTGAGGGAGGCCAGAGAGTTCCCGAGACCCAGAGAGACTAGTGGTCACCTGAAAATCCAAAGAGAAACTAGGACCTAAATTCCCAACTCAGGTTCAGAACCCTTACATGACCTCACACTACCATCTTTAAAAGAACGAAAAGCACTCTGCCCTGCCACAAGCACTTGACTTAAACTAATTTAAGATCTGTGAATTCAGGATCCAGGAAGAATGCACGGTGGAGTGAGGGGGAGACTTAAGATATTGTCACAGACACAATGGATGGGCTAGGGAGGTGAGTTCTGCAAGAGATGGCCCAGCTCATTGATCCCTTTATTTAACAGATCTTTACTCAACAGTAGAGGTGAAAAAGTACATGATGTCTGGGTTTCTTGAGGCTTCCACTCTGGCATACCCAAGCAATTGTAACAAAGTTTGGTGAGTGTGGAGCTGAGTCATGGAGTGGTGGAGCTGAGTCATGGAGATCCTCAGAGCAGCAGCAAACCAGGAGGAGCAGGTGGACTGGAGGAAGGGGCAGGTCAGGTCTGCAGGACATACGGTGGGGAGTGCAAGGGCAACTGAAGACAGGAAAACAGAGCTCCAGTCCTAGACTGCCCGGGACATGTCATTGAGGAAACCTTAGAGCCCAGTGTTTATAAAGCCAGACACCAAAATAAGTCTTTCTCAGTTAGAAGCCAGTACACCAAGCAGCACAGGTGGATCACCTGGGAGTTTTATTCTACTTTGGATAGAACTCAGGCTCCATCCCCAGAAATTCTGAACCCGCTAGTCCAGGGTGGAGGCTGAGCACTGGCATTTTGTAAAAGAGCTCCTTGGGATTTACAATGTGCCACCAGGGCTAAGGCCTCGGCAGTAAGCAGGGACCTTGGAAAGATTGGCCCTGTATTGTCCACTGTATCTCAGAACCCAAATCAGGACTTGGAGGTTGGTGCTCAGGATGCGCGGCAAGGAAATGCATACTGATCAAATGGAGGGCAGGAAGTCACAGCTGCCTACCCAATCAGAGCAAGGGCAGGAGTGCGACCGACTTTGAGCTGATTTCCTGAATGACTGACTTGCGTTTTTCCCAACTATGGACAGCACTGGCCCAGAACTGGAGCCTGTGGGTGCCCCCACAGTGGGAAGAGCTGCCCAACAGCCCATCACAATCCAGGGTCAGTGTGGGGAATCTCAAACAGGAATGAGCCTGATTGAAGATCTCTTGTCCACCACTTTCTGTTAACCACTTTCTATTGAAGAGGAGGGCGGGGGGAAAGAGGAGGGGGAGCTGGTTACTCACAGATGTGGGATGTGTGAGCACAAGGCGGCATCCATCCCACCTTCTCCTTCTGCCTTCCCACCAACCCCATTCCACAAACTTACCAGAAAATCTTTCCTCCTACACCAAACCATACTGCACCCCATTTTTAAAAGTTTTTTTTTTTTATTTTCATGTTAGTTGAAAGGCATAGAGAGAGACAGAAATACAGCCAGGGCTAGACCATGTGGAAGCCAGGAACCTGGAATTCAATCCAGGTCTCCCACATGAGTCACAAAGATCCAACAGTCTGAGCCATCACTACTGCCTGCCAGGGTGCATATTAACAGGAAGTTAGAATCCCAAGTGGAACCAGGACTCAAACCCAGGCACTCCAGTGTGGGATGCAGGTGTCCCAAGTGGCATCTTACCCACTGCCCCAAATGCCCACCTGTCAATCACATTTTAAAGTGATGTAAGATTCTCCCATGTAGCTGCACACCTCTCGCTGGCAAGAGGGCACATGCATGGCCAAAGGGGAAAAGCCACTCACCTCTAGCTTCCACAAAGAACTCAGGAGGCCAAGCCACGCCCCTGCAGAGACCATCAGCACTGCTGAGAATCTGTGACACTTGGCCCCTGAATTCTGGAGACCCATCATTAAAAATGGAGGGCCATTGTATTTGCTTCCCCCAGCCTATTGTGCTATTACTAAAGCTGTCTTCTAAACCTCACATAAACGTTCTGCCAGTTCACATGCAGTGGAAAACCTAGCGCTACAGGACTCCAACCCAACCCCCAGTCTTCCAGCATGTAGACCCCAGAATCTGTTGTCGCACGTGCAGGGAAGACAGAATCTGGGAACCTGGAAAATAGAAACCAGGGCCCCTGTGGACCCAGAAGCAAGGGACAGCCTGGTGCCACCATCCGTCTCCCTTCAAGGAAAACCCCTGCTGTGTGCATGGAGGCAGAGCTGCAGGTGAAGCTAACAGAGAAGGCATAGAGGTTAATTTAAGGCTACAACTACAGGATGCAGAGATAATATGAGGTAGGGTAGGGGTTTAACAAGAGAGCAGGGTCGAGCTCATTGCTCTAACAAGGCCTTTTGAGGTCACTTAGACCCATAGTTTTAAAACTTTTTAAAAGCAGTTGGATTGTGGGTTTTGGTTTGTTTGTTTTTTTGTTTGTTTGTTTGTTTTGTTTTTTTGGTATAAAATTCTTAAATGGAACTCCATCTAAGGTAGCACTACTCTGATCCAAGGGAGAGGAAGCAAGAGTTAGGGGTGGGCAGCTGGACTAGGAGCTGGAAACAGGCTTAGTCTACTTTCTAAACCCAAAAGTCCCTGGGACACCCACCCAGAACGTTGAGGTTCTGAGTTTCACTTGCAAAAGTCAGTGATCCAGCCCAAACCGTCAATGCTATGAATGGGAAAACTGGGTAACTCCAGGATCCCCAGTAAGTCAGAGGTGCCAATGCTGGCACTCAACCCCACTCCCACCCCAGGTCTCTCCTCGCCCCCTCCCCCACTGTCAGGCACACCAGGGGAATCTTAGACGGAGCTGCGGAAGGAGAACTGCAGGTAGATAATCAGCAGCAGAACCGTGGCCCAAAACAAGCACCAGGGGATGGAGCAGAAGTTGCATCCCGAGCCTCCCTCGGACTGTGGTTTGGTGGGACTGGGCGCCCGGGAGAAGGTGTAGGTGGTGGCCTCCTCCTCCAGCAGCTTCTCGCTGGGCTTCCAGTGCACGATGCCCTCCTGGCAGGCCTCGCAGAACTCGCCGCGGTGCCGCCGGTTGTCCTGGCGGCTGGCCACGTGGATGCGGTATTGGCCGCCCCGCTCGCCGTAGCACTGCTCGCGCAGGCTGGTGATGAGGTTGTCCACCAGGCCCTCGATGTTCTCCTCCAGCATGCTCGACTCGTCCAGCCGCGCCGTGCCGCACTCATAGCACAGCTGCTTGAAGACACGCATGCGCACCGAGCCCGCCCGCTGGGCGCGGTCCAGGTGCATGTGGAAGAGGATGACCACGTGGGGCGACTGCCAGGTGTGCCAGCACCAGGAGCAGTGGAACCTGCGGGCAGGGGAAGGAGGGGTGGGGGAGGTGTCGCCTCCCAGCGACAGTCCTCCCTGGGGAGGCCACAGAGGCGAGGCCTGGAAGTGGAGGCGGAGTGTTTACTGCCCTGTGGGTGCGTTAGCTCCGGCCTCCTCCTGGCGAGCACCCCTGGGACCCCAGCAGTCTCCTCAAGAGCCCAGCAGTGGAGCCACCTGGCACCCAGCAGTGCCCGGAGCGGGCCTCCTGCAGCCCTCCCAGGCTCAGTTCCCCGCAAGCCAGATGCACTCAGGGCCGCACCTGGATAGTGCCCAGGGCCACTTCCGGTCTGGGGTCCTCAGACAGGGAGTGCACAGAGCTTGGAGGTGGAGGCGGTGTGTTGACAGCCCCCTGGGTTCATTAGCTTTCCCTGGGAGGCCGCCTGGCCCGCCCCGATGTGAGTGCCCTTGAGACTGGAGCCGGGAACCAGCCTCGCTCCGCTCCCTTCCTGCTTCCCAGAGGCCTCTGCTCCCTCCTCCCCCCGCCTTAGGGCCTTGCCCGGGGTCCGTCTCTCTGGGCATCATTCCTCATCTTTAAGTGGTCACGGTGCTCTAGAGGAATCCTTCCTGTGAGTCTGATAGCACCCGGGAGAAAACACCGCTGGGCCTGCATGTCAACAGTGACCGTGACCCAGCTGCATCCAGCCCAGGAGGAAATGACCCCTGGATCTGCCCCCGGCCAGTGCCAGACAGTGCCGCCTAAAACCTGGAAGAAGGCCACAGTTGCCCAGGCCTGACTGGAGCCAGCCAGGTCTGCGGGAGCCGCATGCCCTTCCCACTCAACCCCTCAGCCTTTCGGGCCGTCACTAAGCTCTTTCGCCAGGTCAGCACTGCTGTCAGCTGATTCAGGACTTTCATGTTTCGCGCCTCTCATCTTTTTGTTTACTCACATCCTTTAGGAACTGCTTCCAGCTCTCAGAGTAGATTACAAAATGGATTGAAAACTGTCAGAACCAGAGGGACCTTGGAAATCACCCAATTCGTCTTTCGTTTCACTCTGAGAAGTAGAGCATAAGAGAGTCACCCTCGTGCACACAGCTAGTTAGAGGCAGGGCCAGTGCCCAGCACTTCACAGGTGCCCAGTGATGTTTCTCCAATGGAATTGCATTGAACAGGCTGAGAGGAACCAGCCACCTTGCTTCTGGCGCCCAGGCTGCAACACTAAGCCTCCAGCTGGCTGCAACTCCCTACTGCTTCCAGTCTGAGACAAGGACGAGGGACTGATGTCCCCGGGTCAAGTCTTTACAGCAGAATCCCCTGGACAAGGATGCTGGAAGGTCATCTCAGATGTTACTGTACATATGAGTACAAATCACCTAGGAGTCCTGGTAAAAAGCAGGTTTGAATTCAGGCCTAGAGTGGCACCCAAGATTCTGCCTCTGTTGCAAGGTGCAGGTGGTGCTAATTCTGCCACTCCATGAACCACAAGGCAAAGGTGTAGGCTAACTCCTCATTTTGCAAACGGAGAAAGAGGGTTCCAAGAAAGAAACTGAATCACTCAAGGGCCATGGAGCTAAGGGTAGTGCCAGTTTCTGGCACACCTCTTGTGTTCAGTGTGTTTGACTAAAGGTCGCGAAATAGGTTTAAACTGAATTATCCCAGAACTGGAACACAGATCCTTTGGCCCCAAGCACCTCAAGCCTCTTGCCTCTCTATTTTCAATTACGTTCTAAGAGATTTTAAAATCTGAAACTATGTAAAATGTCTGCGCTAAGGATTAACATATCCTACCTCTTTGCTTCCCGGGGGGAAACTGAGGCTCAAAGAGAAAAAGTTACACAGATGATCAGTGAGAGAGCAGAATTAAGCTGAGGTGTCCCAGCCCCACTTAGGGACCCATCCTCTGCCTCCCGGTCTGCGCTCCCCTAACAGCGAGGACAAAGATAAGCACCCGGGTTCTCCATATCTCCATCTGTCCTTGGGAGGTGCCTACAGCTAGGTACCCAGGGGCTGTCTGCAGGGCCCCCACTTTCTGGCTACTCACCTGCCGGAGGCATGCAATTCCAAGTACTGCTTCCAGCCAGGAGCAAGCACGTTGTGCTTGAGGTTGGGGTCTATGATGAGGTCCCAGCTGTCTGCTGGCTTCGCTTCCTCCATCTTCTCATAGAACACTTTCTTCCATTCACCTGTGGTCACACTTTTACACATGGTCTCGTCGGGGGTGAGGGAGGGCAAGCTGCACCTTAGCGAGAGCACAGAGAAAGAGGGCAGGTGCAGGGCAGGGCAGCGCAGTCTCCACGGTCTAAAAATCCTCATCGACAGGACTAGGAGGAAGCAGGACCCAGCTCCCTCCTTTGTCCGCAGTGGAACCTGTTTCCACGGCAACCAGGCGAGGTGCCAGGAGACCGAGCTTGGGGAGGAGGGAGTCTCCAAAGGGGTATCTCAGGGCCTTGAACTCTGGTGATGGAGGCAGGTTTCTGGGTCTGGCTGATCCGAGATAGAGTAGGGAATCTGATGAGAGACTGAGCTTCTGACCATCTCACCCAGGTCTACAAAGGGCACGGAGAAGTGAGGACTTGGGAGCAGGCTCAATTTCACCTTGCATCCCTCTGGAGACATCATCAACATCTGGCTACTATGGAAACCATGATGCCTTAGGGAGTCAAGGAGAAATAAGGGGTGGAGAGATGTAGACTCGTTAGTAGACAGCAAAAATAATAGACTCTCCCTCTGCACCCTCCTGTCTTTTGACCAGGCCTTTGCCATGTTCTAAACACAGTTGGAGATATCTTAAACCACAATTACTTGTTGCCGCTGTACAGATCAGGAGTTCGAGACTTATCTAGACTACAGAAAGCAAAGCTCATATCCAAATCCAACCTGTTGACCCCATACCAATCCATTCATTCACTCATTTCAATCATATCCATGGGTCAGGCTCCGTGCCAGGGACTTGTAACTGGGCATGTACCCAGTGAGCATAATGCCGTGGGATCTCTTCTGTAATGGCCATGAACAAGAGCAGGCACTTGTATGCAAAGATGGGAGCCATTGCATCAGCCAGGCGATGGTAGACAGGATGATTTCCAAATTGATTACAGAAGAGCAGAAAAGGAGCACTGGCCACATGCAAAACAGCCTTTACTGCAGATGCCTCTCAGGTTATTGTTTAAATAAATTATTTGCCCTTCAGTAGGTTTATTCATAGGAAACTTACAACAAACAGATAAAACAAAAGTCAGATTCTTCCATAATACTCATGCTAAAGATGAGTGCTATTGATATTATGATGTACATACTATATCTGTGACATATTTTAAATAACAATATAGCATGAATATTTTTCTAGGTCATTAATATTTCATAGTAATATTGATATGCAGGAACTAGGAGGAAGTTAGATAGGAATAAGTGAGCTGGAATTCCTTTAAAAAGATTAATTTATTTATTTGAATAAAGAGTTACAGAGCAAGAAGGAGAGAAAAAGAGAGAGAAATCTTTCAGAAACTTGTTCATTCCCCAGATGGCCTTAATGGCTAGGGCTGAACCAGGCTAAAACCAGTAGTTTCTTTCAGGTCTCCAATGTGGGTGGCAGGGTCATTTTCTGCTGCCTTCCCAGGCATATTAGCAGGGAGCTGGCTTGGAAGTGGAACAGCTGGGGCATGCACTAGTTAGTGCCCATATGGGATGCTGGCATCACACGTGGTGACTTAACCTACTGTGCCACAATGCAGACCCAGAGCTGGAATTTCTGGCAGCCCTGCATTGTGACTCTGTCCCCTTACTTGCCAGTCTAGTACACCTGCTTTTCCCTTCAGCACCTGTGTCTCACTGGGACCAGGAAGGAGAAGGCATCATCATGGCCATGTGGAAGTTGAATTCCGTGAGGACACCATAGAGCACCCAGAAAACTTCAGGCACAGCAAACTCCACTTCATTTGTATATTCAATTACAGCACTACTCCCCATCTCATAAATGAGATGGCAACTTGGAATGGGGCCCTTCTTTGTCTCTGGGCTTTGGGACCATGCTTACATGTCCTTCTCTGGCTCCTCCCACTCTATTTCCTCATAGGCAATGCTCTGGCTCACTCATGATGGGTATATCTGCATGTGGGATGGCCCACACTCAAGCATGAATGTGTATTCACTCTCTTTCTCTTTTTAATAAACCCTGCTCTCGCTTGAGTACAGTGTTTTATGTCTCTACTTTGAATTCTTAACTCTTTGGCAACAAGTATCTGAACAAAGATTAAGAAACATTGGCTCAGGAGAATGTCTTGTAGACTGTTTATGTGTGTTCTGTTTTATGGATGGGCATAATTTATTTAGCCAGTCCTGCATTTGGGAGCGTTAATGTTTTATTTCCATTTCCCTCAGTTATACTCTTCCACCTATTTGCATAGAACTTATCAATGGCATTGCAGACATCGGAGACAATGTTTCCTGCAGTCAGAAAGTCCATCTCCTGCCTCTACTTTCTGCAAAAGAATGGTGTGATGAGCAGAATATAAAGCAGGCTCTTCTGACATGAATTACACATAGCCTGCAAATCTTAAAGCTTAGGAATGAAAAAGAAGAGTCCAATCTCCCATCTGATACCAGATACCATCTTACTAATGCTCCTTCTGCCTCTGCCTGAATGCTTGTTCTGTTTTACAGAATTTGAGCCTCTGTTTCCTCATGTTGGCAATACATAGGACAATAAGGAGAAACGTCTGCAGTGAGTAAAAGCAGAGGCTCTAGAATCACTCTTTTTTTAAATTGCTTATTTCCTCATGGGTCATCATTCTAACCCACTTAAGTTGTATCTTTTCATTCTGGTGTGTTAGTACATTTTTCATTTATTTAAGATAATTCCAGCTTACAGTTTGCAGGCTATAGTTCAGGACTGGGTGGCCTCCTGGTCATGACAGATGCAGAAGAACAGACACATGATGAGCCCGAGTGCAGAGAGGCGAGCTAGACAGAACTTGAACTCAAATGATAATCAGCTCTCTCTTGAGAACTACCCTCTGGAGATATGCCCCAAACAACCTAAGCTCCTCCAACCAGACCCACCTCTCAAACGCCACAGGCATATAAAACCTCCACTCTCAATACATCAACCTTTAGTATTAAAGAAAAAATCCACATCATTCTCTAATACAACACACAATCAACTCCACTCCCAAAAAATCTCAGTCTTAACTCAGTCCAACACTAACTCAAAAGCCCATTGTCTTCTTGGAGATTCAAGGCAGACTCTTAGCTGTGAACCTGTATAATCAAAAACAAGTATTTTTCCATTCCAAACAGGGGAGTCAAGGAAACAGAGAAGATTAATTGGATCAAAGCAAGACTTAAAACCTGCAAGACAAACATTATCCATGTCTATGGTTTTATGTCTGTCATCCTGGACACTCTGTATTAGGGGCTAGGCTTCCAAAGGTTTGGGCAGTCCTGTCCCGATGGCTTTGCCCTCACAGCTCATGTTTCTCAAGATGTAATCTAGGTGGAATCCTTCATATCTCCATTGCCCTGCTGGTCTTTGCACCCACGGCAGCTTTCTGAGGCTGCACACTGATGCCTTCAACTTTCCCAGGCTAGCTGTCACACTGCTGGTAGTTTTCCTTGCCTAGTGTTTTATGTCACTGGTCCCTCTCCTCTCCTACTGGGGGTTTCCTCTGCAGCTCCACTTTCACAGCTTCACTAGCTGTGTGTCGCTTCACTCAGGACCTCCAGCTCTGTAGCACCACTCAGCCTGGCCTCCCAGGCTTTCCTTTGAAATCTGGATGACTTGCCATGTCCCCATAACTATTGTGTTTTCTGCATGCTGGCAAAGCCAGCAGCACATGGGCGACACCTAGGTCTGCCACCAGCAGGAGCTGTGCCTGGGCCTGCCGAGTGAGAATCCAGGGCTGGTCCAGGGCAAGCCAGATACCCTGGGGGCTCCCTTGTGAAAGAATCTATCCTGGAACATCTCTCAAACTGATTAGAACTTCTATGTCCCTCTTCTAAAAGAAAGAAAGAAAGAAAGAAAGAAAGAAAGAAAGAAAGAAAGAAAGAAAAGGGTTTTTTTTTGTTTATAGTGTGGAAATTGCAGTTGAGGAGCAGAAGGCCCCATAGGCCACCATCTGATGGAGGCTGGTCATGCTGGGTCTGGGGTAGTGATCGCCTGGTGAATCAGGAAGCAGGTAGATAGCAAAGGCAGAACTTGAACTCAAATAATAATCAATCATCTCCCAAGAACCACCCTCTGAGAGCACACCCTAGTGACCTAAACAGTTCCCAGCAGACCCACTTCTCAGACGCCATCATTAGATCAAATCTCCAGCCTTAATCCATAAACCACTAGCATTAAGACATCAGAGTTTAAACACTTGCATGAGTTTGAGACAAGCCTACTCAATCCCTAACACCTGGTAAAACATATGCTGTGATTTTCTGCAAATACATTTTTAATTTGCATAGTAATATTGTGGACATGGGTATTCTTATCTCCATTCCAGATTGTTGTCTCACACAGAGATAAGAATTCTAAGCAGAGACATGTACAAAGGTGCACAAGGTGAGAGGAAGATGTATTTAAAAGGTGAGAACGTGAACAGGCATCCACATGTGAATGTGGGCCACCCCGCGTGGAAAAATATGCATCATGAGTAGGCCAAACGGTCACCCAAAGTGAGGTGGAGTAAGAGAAAAACCTGAGTAGCACCCGCAACCATGGGCCCTGGTGAAAAGAGGCCCCCCCTTCCAGTCTCTTTCACAAGTAGGCAGTGATTCTTCAACATTCTGAAGCCATCTAGGAAGTTTCTGGCACTTCCATAGACTCCACATGGAGCTTAATATCCATACAATCATCAAGGCAACTCCTTCTTCTTAGCCTGGATGAGACACAGGGGTCTTGTAAAGGTGGGTGCTTTTGGCTGACACAGAGGTAACATTTCATTGTACAGCTGTTAAGATTTCCAGCTCACTCAGATGTAGCTAGCTCCTTGCCTAACCACAACATATCAGTAACAGCCTTTATTTAGAGAACTACTAAATACCAGGCATTATCTTAAATGCTTTACCTATTTAGTGTATTTCATCTTAATGGTAACCTTATAGATAGGGACTATCAACAGCAGTTCCATTTTCCCAATATGTAAGCTAAAGCACACCAATTATAAACAGTCCAAGATTCAACAGTTCAAGATTCAACAGATTCAACTGGGATCTGAACCAATATGACTGTCTCCAAAGCCCCACCTTTTGTTGTTCTGCCCTCCATGGAAACTCGAATATAACACCTGCTAATTAAATGTGTATTTCTCTCTTCTCATCACATGCTGTGACTCTAAGAATTGGAAATGAAGTACTTATCCTTTTAACAGCCACACTGAGGCCACAGCCTGTGAAGCCTTCACCCTGTGAAGCCATAATCATTCGGTACTGGTTACCCTGGCTCAGTGGAACAAGCACAGCACTGGGGGTTAGGAGATAAAAGGACACATCACAGCTCTGCTACTGGCTTTGCGACCTTGAGCAGGTCAATTCCCTTCTCTTGGCC